CAAAAATCGAAGACGAGCCAAAACACGTGCAAGCAAAGCAGCTGTCAAAAATTAACTGAACATTCAAAATGGCCGAACTTGTCGGCATAAGTGAGAGACATGAGTACCAACATAACGCCACAAAAAATCGAAAATCGAATATACGTAACCCGCGGAAATTCAAAATTCGCGATACTTTTTGAACAGACCTCGTATAAGCGCGAAATATTTCTAGAATGTTATATGGATATTATTAAAAAATTTAAATAAGTTATTATAATATTTTTAAAATATATAATAATTTTTAATATTATGAGAGTATTTTATAAATGTTATATGTCTACTTACATAATATCCTTGGTATTGTATCCTTAATAACTCTGACCTATTATTAAAATATTTATAAATATTAATTATTTTTAATTTAGTGCAATTTGAATTCACAATCCAGGAACGAAAAGTTCTTATCAGTTTATGCTGCATCTTGTGCTAAAAAAAAATGTTTCGGCGTGATTTTAAATATATATCTTGTACTACAACTGCGCGCCAAAATCATTTTCAGTCTTAAAACGTATACTTATTCTGAACAGATGTAGCAGTTTTACAAATTAAAGTAAATGCTATTATAATACTTTTTAATGTTTAAACAATATTACAGTAACAATAGTACATTAAACAATGTTACTTTTAATAATAATAATATAACATTATCAGGACTGGGCATATAATCATTAATATTTCGAGGATATTATTTAATATTATATAATTTTAGTAAAATATTCTTGAAATGTTACATTTAATATTCTAAGAATATGTTTAAAATATTACTTAATATTAAATAATATTATGCGCCTATAGGCATAATACGATATCATCTGCACTAAAAAAAATTCCAAGAATATCAAATTTCCGCGTTTTATATAAGAAATAAAAATTAGTCATTACGATTCAATTATTTATGCCTAGTATCGTTGGATCACGATTCGCACCGGTCGTTTATTATCTTCCGAACGTTCCGAACGTGAGAATATGAACAGCGAATATGTCGTATAATCGTAACAGGCGCAAGTGACACGTATCTAGCTTTTACATTTCGCAATTCTTTCGAATTAATTTTGCTCATTATAAAACAAGACACGTCTCAGCTGAATCAGCTGTTTCTCTCGAGTCGATGTTTTCACAAATGCTAGTATAGTACTGTATACGAGCACCGACGAGATCTCATCGATGACGTTCGGGCCGCATGCGCCGAACGTGCGTAAAACTTACGTGCGTCAGTAGTGCAAGTGGATAGTGCAAGTAGGCACTTGAGACGACTTGGGCAGTGAGTTCGCTACGGAGTTGTTGCGAGGTAGTGTAGCGGCAGCTGATAGTGTGGAAGGATTGAATTCTGCGTTTTCACATAATCTGAATTTTTCTCGTTTCGGGTGTCCCTGTATCTCCCTATATAAGATTTCTCCTGGCTCGCAGCAAGACGACTTTCGGTCTCAACTTGTGTTTTCAGCTGATTCAACAATACATCCGACGCAATATCAGCACTCGTCGCATCATTAACGCCGGAAAAGGTAACATATCTATCACCTGGAGACACGGACAGATGCTGCGTCATCCTATCACTTTCTCCTTTTCCTTCATTCCGTCATACATTCTTGCATACGGTCATCGATGATTATAATACAGTTTTTTTTCACTTATTTTTTTGCAAGCTTCGGTTTAAAGTCTAGGATGACAGGTTGTTATCTAACGTCAACGTCCCCTCCTCTCTGCTCGTTTTCTCGCACGCGAATTATGCAATTCCCAGAGATTGAACAGAGATTGAATATTTGCAATTATTGGATTGAGATAATCTCTTCAGATTGCACATGGTCGTGCTACTGTCGGATTTTTTTTTATTATTATTTATTCGGTAGATTTATTTAGTTTGCGTTTGTACATACATATATGCTTCAATCCCTTTCACTTATAAATTAATGTTGAAGTACTTGTATAACGTTACGTATTTGTTAATTTTCATATAACTTAATATATTATATACATGTACAGGATGATTGAGAAGTAAGTCGAGTGCAACTTTGTCAAAATGTTTGGGAGATTATCTTGAGTAAAAAATGTCATGAATATAGATTCTATTCTCAATACTTACATAATTAAAGAAGTTTTAAAATTTTGCTGCTACTAATAGTAAACGCTAATTAATAGTAACATAGTACCAATGCTATGATTTTATACTCAACTATGTAACTGTTATGTATAACATTTGTGTACAACAATTTGTTATATTACATTGATATTATTGAGTGTGAAATTATAATATTGATGTTATGCATTTACTGTTAATTGATTTTTACTCGAATAATGAATCAAAATATATAGGGTGTTTCACAACTTGCATTTCCTCTTAAGGACGTATTCCACTTGAGATAATACAAACTATTTTTAATTATATAAACCAATTATAATTCAAAAATTATAAACTATTGTAGCCTCGACATTTTTGTATTAGAATTTTTGTCTCGAAATTATCTCGTTCTTAATTGGAAATGCGGTAGTTATGATGCACCCTATATGTATGGTGCATAATATACTATATGAATTTTATTTTAGGTATTTATTTTAGAAATATTCGGTATTCAGTATTATTCGGTTGAATAGCTGGATATCATTTTTGTTTTTTAGTATTAGTAATATTTTATATTGAAAGTTTGCGCCATGTTTAATGCAAAATTTTATTCTTTTCAGCTGAACTTCTTGCATAGTTCATCTTTCCTCTTTTTCTTTTCATGTTGGGAAGACAAAGAAAATTATTATCGCTATTTTCCCCTTGCTTTCCTTTTCTTTTTGGAACCCTTGTTCTAGATATCCGACTTGATATCCTATATCCGGTATATCCGGTAATTTTACGATCCAGTGCATTCCTATTTTATTTGCTCAGTACAAATTCTTTTATATTATTTTTTGTTTTAATGCCTGTCAAATATGTGATTTATGAGTGCTTTCCAGCAAAAGACACAGATAACACAGTTAGTGAATCATTAAATCTGTGTTATTTGTCAATGTTAGGGCCATGGCACACACAAAAATTTAAGCAGTAAGCAAATTGATCAATCACAGTAAAGTTCGTAAGGCTGTAACGTGAACAGTAGCCAATCCAACATGTTGAGTTCCTTACTGTTTAAATCTTATTGCCTCAAATTTTTTTGTGTGCTCTTAAAGATGAAATGATCATTGTGTTACCCGTTACACTATGTTTCTTGATGAAAAACATCATATAATAGCAGCAAATTTTTTTAAATTCTATAATTACTGCCAATAGAACAGGACTTGCGTTCATATAGCATTCTTTATTCAGGATGATCTTTTAAATATATCAAAATTTATTACACTTATCACCTTTCGAATTACCCTTATGCATATCAATATACTTTTAGATCTTCTGATAATAATGCCGTGTCCATTTTTGACCCGTTTGTCTGCAAACTATATCCGCAATTATGGATCATCGCTGATAATGAATTACCGGCAACATTGCCCAGTAATGTCAAGATTGTTCAGTACAATGGCAAAGTCGGAGGAGTCTCAGCCGATTCCCGAGTCTATACAAAATCAGTGTCCCTTCTTATCCAGAGAACGGGACGCTATTAAGAAAGCCAGTTTAGCAATGGAGGAAGATGTTATCAATTTAGGTACAACAGAGCAAAAAGAGGAAACGCAGTTCCCTTACGAGGAATTTTTCCATGAGCAACTTATGCGAAAGAAGAAGGATCATTCGTACCGAGTTTTCAAGAAAGTCAATCGTCTGGCTGAAAACTTTCCAGTGGCTATGGAATACTCGTGGGGCGAGAAACCCATAACGGTATGGTGCTCCAACGATTATCTAGGAATGTCGCGTCATCCCGCGGTGATCAGCGCAGTTCGTGAAGCGTTGGCTAAGTTCGGTGCTGGTGCCGGAGGCACGAGAAATATCTCGGGCAACTCCATGGGTCATGAGATATTGGAGAAACGACTGGCGCTGCTGCATCAGAAGGAGGCCGGTTTGCTTTTTACTTCCTGCTTCGTTGCCAACGACTCTACCTTATTCACGTTAGCGAGACTTCTACCAGATTGTCACGTTTTCTCCGACGCCGGGAATCATGCCTCTATGATACAGGGTATACGAAACAGCGGTGTGCCGAAGCATATATTCCGACACAACGACGTACAACATCTGGAGGAGCTCTTGTCTAAGGTGGACAAAAACGTGCCAAAGATTGTAGCATTTGAGACGGTACATTCCATGACCGGCGATATCTGTCCATTAGAAGAGTTGTGCGACATCGCACATAAATACGGCGCGATAACGTTCGTTGACGAAGTCCACGCAGTCGGCTTATATGGCTTTTCTGGTGCTGGCATTGGCGAGAGAGATTGGGTACTTCACAAAATGGACATTATATCTGGCACCTTAGGAAAGGCTTTTGGCAATGTGGGCGGCTACATTGTTAGTTCCGCGAAGCTGATAGATATGATAAGAAGTTATGCAGCGGGCTTTATTTTTACTACTTCGCTACCGCCTACTGTCCTGTACGGAGCTTTAACATCCATCGATATTTTGGCATCGGATGAGGGTAGATCATTGAGGACGAATCATCAGAAAAATGTCGCCTATATGAAATCTATTCTTACTGCCGCCGGTCTTCCGTTAGAAATGTCGCCCTCTCACATTATTCCGATAAAAGTAAGCTGCGACTAAATAGTTTAATTAATTGATCTTCATAATTAAATAATAATTATTGCTAATAAAAATGATATTCTTTTTTAGATAGGAGATCCATTGGTGTGTAGTCAAATAGCAGACTATTTATTAAGAGATAAAGGACATTATGTGCAAGCTATAAATTATCCTACAGTTCCAAAGGGTGAAGAGAAATTGAGATTAGCCCCAACTCCAAAACATACTCAAGCCATGATGGATAAATTCATACGAGACACGTTAGATGTTTTTCATCAACTGAATATATTCAAGATAGCCACAAAATCGAACGATGCACCGTGTGCTATTCTGGTTCATTGACGAATGTATATAATATATAATTATCATACACATAATCATACAAATAAAACCTATCTATTATAGATATCCTATATATGTCCTATTTAATAGTGATGGGCGTTATTTCATTATCTGTTACTGAATTATTTCTCAACTGTTATTGAGAAATAACTTTAATAACCATTATCAAATTTTAA